CAAAGCATTGCAGGTCAGTAGTATTTGGAGGAAAGAGAAACATTTTTTTTGTCTGTTTCCTTTGAAATGTTTTGTAAGCATGAGAAGACTTCTCTCCAACAGCAACTATTCAGAAGAGACTTGTATGACTTCCTGCAGTGGGAGAGAACCACAGAGCCTCGCGGAGAAAGACATTTGGTTGCTTTTGATTTCTCTTGTTTGATGTACAGCCGTGCATTTTGACAATTCCCTTGCAATGGTGCACCCTTCTGAATTTTACGGAGCGTATCTGGGAGAGATTACATAGCCAGCTGATCTTAAATTGTTCACTCCTTCTCAGTGATCAATGAATACTTGATCATCCTGGGGATTAAGTAAACTTGTAGCACCAAAGGTGATAAATTATTATCTGTAATGTCAAGAGGTTTGGAACTTTCTTGAAGATATGCGGGGAGCACTTGAGAGCAGAGATTTTGTCCGCACGTTTGATCATGTGGTCTGTCACCCTGCGTATTATTTCAGTCCAAGTAAAGGTCTCTGAAATGGTTTTGTTGAGCAGATTCCCGTTTTTATTGAATGATTTAGACAGAAGGAAACTGACAGTTCTTGACACTGTCCTGTTTTTTTTTGCTTCCCTGCATTTTGGGGACTGTCCTATGTGATGGGCAGGAAAATAGGCTTTAGCTCCAAGACTTTGCTTTTCCCAGCTCAGCCATCGGCTTGAGCATGTTCTCTTTGCACCTATTCCTGCTCTGTCTTGTTTCATAAGGTTTTATAGTAGTTTGGAGCAGTCTTGTGCTGCTTTAGAGTGTCTTTGTGACATTATACTGGTCTCAGAGCATTAAGCAATTCAGGCAGTAAGTGTACCGCTATTGATTTGTCTTGTCCCCTGAAACCCAAACTTTAACTTCATCAGATACAAATAGTTATGATAATTTTTTTTTTCTCCAGGGCCAGGTTTGGTTGAAGGACAAAGAAGCTACACATTGCAAGTTATGTGAAAAGGAATTTTCTCTTTCCAAAAGGAAGGTAAAACTTTAAGGAAATTTCTTCCAACTTGTTTACATGTATCGTGAGAAAAATGTTAGTTATCTTAGAAGTATGGCATGAAATAGCATTGCTCAGAGGAATGCATAGTTGCTTTTGAGATGTCTTTCTAGTTCTTTGATCTGTACAATGCAGCTGGGCCCTAATTTCAAACGAAACACTGCCTTTTGGTGAAGTGACACAAAGGAACGTACTTAAAAATTATTCAACCTGCTTTGTGGAATCATCAGCTCAAATGCTTGTCAGCTCTGGCACTGGTACAATTTGATGCATGTGGAAGGCTTTTTATGACATTTCTTATACACTAGACTAAGAAACTTTGAGTTTATTGTGATTTTAAAGTAAAATATGCTGTTAATTTTCATCCTTTATTAATGCATGCAGGATTTTTTTATTTTACCTTTTTATGGTAAATCTCATTTAGCTACCTGGCAGAATCATCCACTGTCTTGAATATCATTGCTTATATTATGTTTTTATATAACGAAGTGTGCTCTTAATCCACGGATTGAATGAAATCTGCAAAACATATATATGTATAAAAAAATATATATGGTCCTAGACAGCCCATATATATATATATATATATATATATATATATATATATATATATCCATGGTGCATCATAGGTTGGGATTTAGATGAATTATCTTTGGAAAACTGATTCCACGCTCAGACCAGAGAAGGAATGGCAGTTTGGGTTGCTCTGTGTATATTGTGTATTGATATCCAATTACCACGTATATTTCCAGTGTAAATTTTAATTTGTAATCTTCTTCCCATTATTCAGCATCACTGTAGAAACTGTGGCGAGATCTTCTGTAATGCCTGTTCCGACAACGAGCTGCCCCTGCCCTCTTCACCAAAGCCTGTTCGGGTCTGTGATTCCTGCCATGCAATACTTATACAGAGGTGCTCTTCTAACGTGCCATAAGATTATTTTACAAGATACTTATTACCTTTTGGTATTTAGCTAACCCTGTAAAAAACAAAACAAAACAAAACAAAAAAAACAACCCAGAACCAAACATACAACTAAAGAATGTACAGCAGTATTTCCAGAAGTTCAGGTAAGCAGTTGAGAGTTGCATTTTCAAGGTACTGTGGAGGAGTCACTTGTCTGCTTCCTGCTGAAACAAATAGAGAAAATGGGACTCAAACGTAGAAAATGCACGTGATAAAAATACAGCTGCCAGCGTTAGCCTCACAGATGGCTCAGAAACTCTTTTGGAGGAAGCAGGGCAGTTTGTAGAAAAGACTCAGCATTAACATGTGTTTGATGAGTATCGTAGTCGTTCTGATGACCTCGAAGAAGGTCATACGCTTACCTGCTTTTACAGGCTGGTCTGCAACAAGTCCGACCTAATTCTGCCACAGAACGTGCCTGTGATGTGCTGGTGTGAAGCGAAACTGGGCGGTAGCTAGTTTTCAGTTGTATTTCAGACAAGTAATGCAACTGATGCAGTGGTCCGTGAAGTTCTTGCCAAATACTGTATTTGTTTACTTCCCCTCAGTTATCGAGATCTGATCCCTCCGAGAATATTGCACGGAGAACTGCGTTCTTTGTAGTCGCGGGTTTGTGGGGAGATTCTGTCAGCCAGGGGGCAAACAGTGCCTCTAGGCACTTGATGAAGGAAAGTGCATTTTGCTGAATTATTTTTTGAAATTAACCATTCATTTGACATATCAGTGTTTCCACTAAAAGATGTGCATCACAAAATTTTTGCCTGACGTTGTCTGTAACCTTGAACAAGTATCTTGGCATTATTTTCACCTAAGTCACGTGCTTTCAGGCTTGTCCCTGTAGTCGCTGTACACCTCTAGCAGCAGACTGGGATTAAATAGCGGGGACTGCGTCCTTTCTGCGTGGGACAGGCAGGCTCTTCCTTGTTTTGTCATCAGCTTTCTCAAACTTTCGGGGAAAGGTGATGACAAAACTTCCTCAACTTCATTTTTTTTTCCAGAGCACTTTTGAGTACGTCTAGGTCTGGCCACTCTTCACACCGATGGCAGCTTCTGCTGGAATGTAAATCCTAATTCTTCCCGTAGGCGAATACAAATACATCCTTTGATAAACTGTCCTCACTTCCACGTCACCGCGCTAGAACCAATTTACCCTCTTCCCTTTAGTCACTGTTCATGCAGTGGGTCCGGCCGTGGGACCTCCCCGCTCTGGTCAGCGCTGATGCGCCGTCAGCAGCGTTACCGGCCCGGGAGTGGGCTTGGAATATTCTTACCAACAGGAAAAGGGAGGCTGGGAAACAGGGCTTTTAACTGTTCTTGCACTTCGTTTAGCTTAGCTTTGTCTTTTGAGGATAGCCATTTAGTCAATATTCTAAAAGCTAACCCAGCTGTTCTTTTTAACGCCTCATTGTAGTTGCTTGTGTAGCTTTTGTAAAGAAAAATGGTTTTTAAACTACCTGCTGTAACTTTTTGTAAAATACAAAACAAATACTTGTAAATCTGTAAATAGCTTTTGGGGAAAAAAATAAATCTAATTCATCTGCAACTTAACTATGGGAATAATGTCAACTTTATTTAAATTTGTAATTCAGAGTGTTTTATTATGTCTTGTTTGTTGGGGAGCGGGGAGCTACCCTGCTAATGCTGTAACAGGCCCAGTGCTGCTCGTGTGCCTCCTGAAGGGATTCCCAGAGTTCTCCAGCGGGCTTTAGGTGGGGCAGGCATGGAGGCAGCAGGGCTTGATCTAGGGTATAGGTGATGCTAATCCATACTGCTTTAATAACTAATTTTTCAAGAAGTATGCAACTAAACAAAATTAAAAATAGACCATCTTTAAAATAAGGGTATAGTGCATTTCTGTAACATGCAATAAATTAAATTTCTATTACGTAACCGCACTCTTTTCCTCTCCGCTGCGCTGCCCTGCCCTATTTGCGTGGGAAAACATCCCTGAAGTAGTGTGCAATATTTCAGATTGCTTTTGCTTACTCCAAGTAAAGCTTCTGCCTTGACCAGAAGGGCGAATATCGTATGTTCCACGTGGGTTCATTTCCCTTAGCATCAAGCTACGTACCTGGCCTGCTTTTAGCAGTGTTTTGGACCACGCTGTTGTTAATCCCGTATCTTTATCTTTCTATAAAAAACCCTGTTCCGTGATTCTAAATCGTCCTCACACTGAGCATGGGAAGAGCTGCGGGACACCGACTCCCTCAGAAGAAAGTGTAACCGCTCCCACCGTGGGAGAGCAGCCTAGTTTGCTTCTTGGGAAACCACCCTCTGACCGAACGCACCGGGGGCATTAGCAAGCGAACAGAGAAGAACGCGCTGCTCCTCCCGCTCTTCCTCCTCCCCGCTTCTCCGAGAGCCGGCGCGATTAAACCTCCGCCTCCCTCCCTGACCCAGCGATCTCTTTTCCTAGGCTTCCTCCTCAAAACCAACTCCTCTGCGAGTCAAACGCCGCTGAAGCGACTCGGGCCGGTTCCTCGCCGGGCGCTGCCGCGGGTGCGGGGCGCGGAGTCGCAGCGGCGGGGACGGGACGGGACAGGCTGGGACGGGCCCGCGCTTCGGCCCTTTTTGCGGATTAGCCGCCCTACAGACACGCGCGCAAAGCAAAGCTCCCACCCCGCTCTCGCAAGGTGAGTCTTAAACGCGCAAGGAGCGGGGCCGGAGCTGCCCCCATTTCCCAGGCATCTGCCCCGCCCGGGGTACACGCCCTCTACCTTACTGTATGAGCTTTTTCCCTCCAGCTGGATTAATTCTCGTCCTGACCTCTGCCAGCCCGGTTTTATGAACCACATAAACTTCTTCAGCAACAGCCTGAGAACCCGCTATGTTGTAGGAGGACCAAGCTAAAGCAAAGCCCTCCAAGATCCCTGAGGTGAAGATCTACTTTTCCCCGCCCCTTCCTACCCGCGACTATTCCAGACCTTGGCACTCACCCTCTGGGCCCTTACTTCCAGTCCCTGGGACACAAGAACACGCTCTCTAGTGAAATAAACTCCATTCTCCTCTCTCCCACAAGAAGACATTTATTACATATATAACACAGTACTAGCAAAACAGGTGACAGACTTTCAATACCCAAGATCACATTTGACATTGGAAGGGAGGCATCGAGGACAAAGCAGTCAATTTGGGAGATCACACTGGCTCAGAAGAATAAATACCTTTTTCATTACACATCAGGTATGTCAAGTGTCTTCAAACAATAGTTTCTTACATATCTTACATGTCACAAATGCACAAAATCGTTTTATCAACGTGTTGGGTTGGTGCGGTATTTAACAACTCTTGGGCTTATAGTTCTTTTAGAGATACTTTGCTTCTCATGAGCTCATCCCCAGAATGGCTTAAGTTTTAAACTACAGACAAATCAGCTCAGTGCAGCAAAAAACCCCCCTGAACCACATTTAGATACAGAGATTTCATGAAAGAAAAAAAAAAGTCTTGCTTCCAACTCCTCCCCTCTTCCCCAAAGCAGTGTTGTGAAAAACATACTAAGCAGAGAGATAGCTTCAAATTAACTCCCCGTTGCCGCTGGCTGAAAGCTGTGCTAGTGTTTTAGTTCCCCGGGCCCGTTCCAGGGCTGAAGTGCCGTGTCCAGCTCGCCTTGCACAGCGAAGCGCGGGGGCGGCGCAAGGACTTTTAGCCTCCGCAGCTTTATGCCAGGCTGAGAAGTTACTACATACAGCTTATCAAAAGGGTTTAGGCAAAGGTTGTTACCAAATAAACTAATCTAGTCATCTACCTTTTTCCCCTTAAACAAGTGGATTTTTCCAGCTCATTCACTACACCAAAATTACATAGAACTGAATCAGTGTTCATAGGAGTTACAGTACAACCACCTTTATTGAACCATAGTACAACATCTTAAACCGACTGTAGTCTTGAATATGTAATACATCCTTAGGAGTAACTAGTATAAAAAGTATCAACATCAGTGGTTTGAATATAAAAATTTATTTAAAGTCAGAGTATGCAACAAATAAAACCTACAGAAAACAGATTTTCCCATCACAATCTGTTGCTTACCAAATAATATTGTGAAAACACATTCCTTCAGTCATTATAAAGTTCTTAAAATACAAAAGAAATTAAATTTTGTAAGAAAGTCTAGTAGACCAGCGACTGTTTCTTCCAGGATGTTTTGCAGAAGCAAGGCTATCGTTCAATACATTCCACGCCATCCTCCTCCACCCATACTGCCTTGCCCATAGTATCCTCCACTATTTCCACTGCCACGACCTGCAAACAATTGACACAAGGTCACGCATACATACCTTAAAAAAAGAAAAAATGTGATGGGTAATACGGAACAGTTGGTTGAAGATGACTTAACTTATACTCTACTTTTCTAAACAAGCATTTGCTGCAGTAGCAAAATGCACAGACCCCCAACCTCATTTACAGTTTAAAATTAAGCCTCCCCCCCGCCCCCCGCCCCGCTTCCCTTCCTCCCAGCGCCGCCCCCTGCCCTCCCCCTCGCCCAGCACAAACAGCCCTTAGCAACATTTCCACAGAACAGGTGTAAAACAGAACTTCCACTTACTATAGCCGCCCAAGCCGTCGGGAGTTCCGTACCCGCCACTGTAATTGCTACCCATTCCCATTCGACCAACAGAGCCGTAACCTTGATCTGAAAAGCAGAAAGCGCGTCGTTACAAGCCTGGAACTCGTTAGGCTCGGCAAAGCCTGAGCAAAGGCCGGAACTGGTGCGTACCCATTCCGTCTCTGCCATAGCCTCCCATGCCAGATCCACCTCCAGCAGTCGAATTCAGGAATAGCTCAATATATCGATGTTCTGCGGGAAACAACAAAGCCTCACTTTCTGCTTTGTTTCAGGAGCACAAAGATACAGAGCCAGCCCCGCCCCCCCCCCGCCTCCACGTTATACCCAACAGTCAGAAGCCCACAAAAAGTGAGCTGGAAATGTGAAAACTGGCAAAGTCTTACGATCTGTGTATTTACTGCACAGCAACTTCAGTTGCGTGCAGTTTAAACCGTTCTCTGTTCAGGTTACCCTCTGTTACAGCCCGCTAAAGCCTGGGCAATGAAAGCTTCAGGTAAGCCTGACACTCACGCATGTGGTTTTTATCCTTGGACATGGCAGCTACTGCATCCTCATGTGTTACAAATTCCACATCTGCCTCTCCTGTGGCTCTTCCATCTGCCCCAATATCAATGTGAACTCTTATAGGATTCAATGGTGAGAAAAACTAATAATAAAAACAAACAAAATCATCACATTAATGCAGAATTCAACAGGAGCACTGCATCAACTTCATCTCATCCTACCTCACGCATATATTTAATTACTGATTTCCAAAGTATTACTTAGTGACAGTGGACCTTCAACATTAGGTCAACCTACACTTACAATCTATTATTATTATTATACGTCTCAAAGAGCTCCAGAGTTTGAGGAGCTTTCTTTAAAAGCAAAGATTCCTGCCCGCACACATTGCTTCAAGCAGAAAGTTCTAGTATGATGCCATCTTGGAAAAGGAAAATTATGACTGGTTTTGAAGAAGCAGAGCCAAGTAAGTTTCTCAAAGCAAGTCTTTATGGAATTCAAAAAAAACTGTCAATCAGGCTGCTCTTCCTTACTACAGGACTCAGAGGCAGGGTGGTATTTCTGATCACCAGCCTTTGTGCCACATAGTATCAATTTAAAAACATAAACAAAAAAACAAACAACAAAAAAAAAAACCACAAAAAAGAAAACTAGCACAAGCTTAAGAATGGAGTTGTACGTATGTAATATATAGGTGCAACTAACAGAGGGAGAGCCCCTGTAAGGGGGGGGCTGTTTAAACCAGGCCTCAAGTCCCAAGAAAACTTTTTTCCCTACAAACACCTCATCTATACTGCCACAAGAACGTATTCCCCAAATCCTGCAGATGTGCTTTTATCTGCCACCCCCAGCTCACAGGAGTAATGGGACACCGTCCCCTCGGACAGGAGCCAGCTCCCTGCCGCCCTCCCACCCCACCCCGCCCCTCCCCAAGTCAAACACACACACACAAACTACAGTCGAAGTCCCACATGTGCATTAGCAATCTTCAGCTGACCTTCTGAAAGCCTTAAACCGAGGCTATCGATCACAACCACCATTCTCTCCCCAATACACATTTTATGGAAACAAACACAGAGCCCGGAGTTTGGCTGACCTCTTTAGTAACCTCACCTCAGACACTACCTTTCCAAAAGCTCATTTACTACTAAGCTTTGTAAAACTCACACAAAGAGCCATGACTTCAGTTAGCAGATGTATTAGAGCTATCAACCACTCGTTTGAGAACTTTAACCCAGTAACATGCAAACTCTTGGCATCAGAAAGCCCCTTTCCCCATTGTACTTACATTAGCAATATCATTTTCCGTCGCTCGAAAAGGTAGTCCTCTCATGTGAACGAAGTGACCGCCACCATGGAAACCCGACCCTGCATCTCCAGCTCCACCATAGCCATGGCCTCCCATGCCTATTAAAAAACCCAAACCAAGTAAAACCACACACCTGTAGGATCATTGTGAAAAGCCAGAAAAGTCCTTACTACTCTTTTTTAAAAGCACTCGCTTCACGTCACTGAATGCAGGATGTTCATGCCTCCCGCCCATCGACCCAAACTCCTAGCGAGAAGGTATCCTAAGCAACATATTGACCTTCTCCTGAAATTCACCAATTCCCCCCATTTTTTAACCAGCTTATTTCTTTACAACATAATCTAATGAAGACATTCTTTTTGTCTTGGAAATACTGTCTTAAAACTCAAATAACAGAAAAATATTTTAAACCAAACTATTAAAAAAAAATGTTTTTCTTTTTACCTCTCCCATCCCTCATTCTGTCATCATAGCCATCATTTCCATAGCCATAGTTATTATAGCCACCATAATCATCAAAGCCACCATATCCTGTGTGCAAATGGAGAGAAAGAAAGGAATTATTATGGAAAAGCCACCAAGCAATGCACAAGAGCCAATTTTTCAGTCCTTGGGCACCCAGAAGTTTGCAAACAGCTTCTATGGACTGTTAAACCTGGGTTTCTGAACAGTGTAAATGTAAAGTTCTTTTTATACAGTAAAGACTGAAATATGCAAGTGAGAGACCAAATTCTGCTGAAAATACAGTTTCCTTATTATTTCCATTAATCTTAAATACTAAGTCACATTTTTTGGATACATTACAAGTAAGAATTTTTTGAGAGAGTGTGTCAAACCTAACGGGCACTGCAGCTACTGCCATGTCTTTATTTCTTGACAAAGATGTCAGAAACATGAAACTGCCAACAGAACCTCCATTCATTAGATAAACATACCACCGTCATATCCACCACCTCCTCGACGCATTCTGTCATACATACTTCCACGCCCAGCTCCATAATAACCCCCTCTTCCTCCTAATGGTCTATCATATGGTCCAGGTCGTTGTTGTCCCATCATTCTTCTTGGCATGTCACAGAATCCTCTGATTTCGCTCTTACTACTTTTGAAGATTTCAATATATCTAATAAAAGAGGATTTTCAAGGTACCAATAAGAACACACGCATAAGCTGTCGGAATATCATTAAAGGCCACACTACGTTTTCCATAACTAAACGTACAATCCAATAGAAGTGACTAGAGATACCATACAACTTAAGTTTCTCCTCAAAACCGTAAGAATCTTAAGTGTATTAAAAAAAAAAAGCATACACAAAAACACTTTACAGTGGCAAAAAATTACTACGTGGAAATTCTAGCTGTACAAATTAGGCATAAAACATGTCTTTCCAGTATGAGAAACATACTGTTGAAAAACAATGTCTAGCTATAGTAGCATTTATCCAATTACCCTACACAAGAACGACTGAAACAGTTTTCTGAGTTTAGCAAACTACCCAGAGCAATACTGTCTCCCCCACCCCCCAATCTACTGTATATTTCCCAAGTTAACTTAGGATCAGTTATAAAAATTCTTAAAAACAGCCAGTTCCATATAATGGTCCCCAACCCCCCCAAAAGCATTACTGACCCACAACCCCCAAAAATAAAGATTTAACACCATCCCAAACTCTCCATCCCCACCTGTGCCCTATTCTTTCCTTGTGTTTCCCCAGAGCATTTTCTGCTATCTCCTTTGAAGCAAACTGCACGAAGGCCTCCCCTGTGCTTCTCCCCTGGTAGTCCAGCGTCAATGTTATCCCATTTGGCACGATTTCCAACCCTTTAACCCAAGGACAAATAACCCCATCAAGGGGAACAGTGTTAAAGGCTGAAACATTCCCATCTGTAGCAAATACTTAAAGCATATCTAAACAACAACAACGAAAAAGAAAACCACCTTGTTTCCCCCATCACCCAACAATCCAACCATCTTTCATTAAACATTTACGGATTTAGCCATACTTCTTTTCTGTTTAAACTATGCAAAAATACAGCCACCTAAGTTACATGAAGAAAACATAGCTCCCAATCAAGTAATTTAACCGATCCAAATGCTAACATTCAGGTTACCCCAATATACGTAATAGGTTTACCACCTCGACAAAATTAGATACATACTGTGTTTTACTACATCTACTGTTATTTCTACTTCATTTACAGGGCATAATTCTTACTTAAAATAAACGGATTTAACACAATCCCTCCCATCCACCCCGTTAACAGCCAATACAAATTAAAACGCGCAAAACATGGCGTAAAAGACAAGATAACTCGGTTGCTGTATTTTGACTATACTAGAGGTACCTTGGAAAAACTGAACAATCTCTTCTTTGCTGCAACCAAATGGCAGGCCTCGAAGTCGTACCACTGTCCCATCATTGGTTGTATCATTTGGCCCGTTATGTTTTCCACTCCAGTCCATCTTTTATTTAAATCAAACCCTATAAAGAAACGGAAAAAAGTTGATGTTCCATATACATCCAAGTCCCTCCCCTCAAAAGAAATCTGGCAGTTTTTTTTCTTCAGATAACTAGCATTATGGATGATGAGCTTTATTTCCGTTATATTTAAAATTGTACTTTATCACATGTAAGCCCACCTCAAACTCTGCAAAAGGACAGAGTGTGTAGGGACGGAGGGCAGCACGTGGGTAGGCACTACACATTAAGCACCTTATATACTCAAGAGTACATCGAACATCCGTCCCCTAAGCCTTCGTAGGGCTTTTTTTTTCGGTTATTTCAGGGTTATTTTTTCAAGCGTAACAGCTGAAGAAAGGATAGGGACCACGCAACGGTTCCCGCGTGGAAACACAAGGCCTTTCTTTGTCTGCAAACAAAGCGCCACGGGCCACGCTCCCAGTTGTTTTTTTTTTTTTTTTTGTTTGGGCGGGTTTTTTTTTTCTTTTTTTTTTTTCTTTTCCCTCCCCAACCCTCCCCCCCCCCCCCCCCCCCCTTTTCCGGAAACGCCACCGGCGATGCGTTGGTTAGCTCCGAGCCCCGGGGGCCCCGATTCAGGCCGGGGACCCGCAGGAGCACCCTGAGCCCCGGGGTGGGGGGGGGTGGGGGGGCTGTTTTTGGCTCCCGCGCGGCGGCAGGTGCGCGCGCCGCCCTCAGCCGCCGGCGGGGGGGGGGGGTGGTGGCGGTGCGTGTGGTGGTGGTTGAAGGAGGGGTCGGAGCCCGTCCCCACAATGGGCCGCCAAGGCCGCAACAGCTAAAGCAGCGCCACCGCCCGCCCCGTCAGGCGCGGGGGCGCCCCCGGCCCTTTCCGGCCTACGGCGCCGACTCCCGCCGAAACCGCGGCCCTGACCCACCGCCCGCTCCCCGGCGCCATTTACCGCGCCTCCCACAGCCGGCCCTCCCGTTCCCGCCTCACCCCGCACCCCTTCCCGCCCAGCTCCCCGCCGCCACCTCTCCGCCTCCGACGAGCCGCTCGGTCTCCGCCCGCGCAACCTCAAGGCCCCCCCCGGAGCCCCCCGCCGCCGCCGCCGCTCTCTTGGTGCCGTCACCGCCCTCAGCTCCACCACTCAAAATGGCGGCCGCGCTCGGGAACGAGGCTCGGCGGAGCGGCGCCGCACCGCCCCCTCCCCCCCCCCCCCCCCCCGCCCCCCTCCCGGCCCGCCGCTCCCGCACCGCTGGCCCAGCCCCGGCACCGCGCCCAGGGGCGGAAAGGCCGGCCCGCCCGCCTCACCGCCCGGGCCTCCTTCGGTATCGCCACCCTGCCCGCGGGCACGCCGGGAGGGGCCCGGCTAGGGCTCGCTCAGCCCGCTACTCCCCCCCTTCACTCACCCGCAGACCCTCGCACAACCCCTCGACGCGCCCCGACAGGAGCTCCAGCCGGGAAGAAAGCTCCTCCTCGCCTCCCGACCGGCCGCCGAGCTCCAAACCTACGCAACGCAAACGGGCAGGATGGCGGACCGGGCCGGCGCCAGTCTCGCGAGAGGCCACGCCGCGCTCCCCGGACGCGGGCTGGGCGGCCGCCGTGCGCATGCGCGCCGCCGGGAAGAGGCGGAGAGGGCGCATGTGCGGCGCGGCGTTTCCCGCCTAGTCTTCTCCCAACCCCGGGCTGAGGGGGGCGCGCGCGCGCGGGGGAGCGCCGGTTTGGCGCTAAGCGGGTGGGGAGCTCGCGCCCGGGAAGCCGCCTCGCGCCCGGCTCCGTCCCTCCCTCGGGGCTCCCTCCGTCCCCGCCTCAGGGCGCTCGGCTCCCTCAGCCTGCGCTGGGCTGGGCTGGGGAGGGAGGATGGTGAACGTCGCAGGGGCCCTTAGGGCGTTCTGGAGCTGGTAGCGAGCGGCGCAAGAAGGAGGTTAAAAATATTTTTTTTTTAAATCGGTGCTGAGCGCTGAGTTGGAAGAAGGCTTGAGTCCTTGTGGGGTGCTCGGAAGTGACGGGATGAGGGGGCCGCTGGCTCCTCCTGCAGTCAGGGAAACATTAACTTGGAGCGCTGCTGTCATTTGGGGGCCAAAGAGGTTAGAAAGTACCTTGCAGAAAACAGCTTACGACTAAATAGGCGCAAACGACAATGCAAATTCCAGTTTTTACGGTTGATGCATTTACAAACCGGCCGTTTTCTGGGAATCCTGCGGCAGTTTGTCTGCTTGAAAATGTAAGTTAAAAAAAAACAAACCCAAAACTTTTATGAGGGACTGCAGTGGTATTTGCCATTCTGTACTTGGCCTGGGCACTCAGCACTGGATTAGACTTTGGTTCCTTTACTCGGGAGTTCTGCTGGTAAGGGTTTGCTGTTGCCCCAGAATAGAGAGAAATTAGCAGAACAATACTTTTTTTTTAAATTTATTGCCCCCCCCCCCCCATCAAAACGATTTCATACAAGACATGCATAGTATTTTTTGGGGGGTGGTGTGTGTGAGTTAATTTTTTCTTTTTGAGGAGGATAGTGGTTTTATTCTAACGGTTAAGTCAAAAAGAAACGGCTTAGTTTCTTAAACCAGTGCATTCAGAATTAAATCTCCGAGAGGAAATGCAATAACATGGAATGCGTACTCAGTAGTTCTTGAATTAAGTGTTAAAGTGTGTTTTTTGGTATGTGTTTTTTTCTCTATGGAAGGGATGAGGGTCAGTACAGACTTGTGTCTGAGTCTTTCATGGTTAGTGTGTCATGTTCAGCTTTAGCCAAGTTTAAACAGTTTATTGCTTCAAAGTTGCACAGTAGTTTTAGCACAATTGACAGTAGTCACCCTTCTTCTCATCAGGGTGTTCTGAACAGTTGGTACTAATTGGTACACTTGACAATTTCTACCAAGACTTAATTACTAAACTGGATTAGAAATTTATAGGCCTTATGTTATTTGGATGGTAACACTTGATGAAAATTGTGAGTATGAAAATGTACGTAGAGCAGTCAATGGCAATAGCTTGTATTGACAATATGAATCCTTTCGAATTGTTCCTAAGCTTATCTGCATCTCATACAACATAGCCCATTTACCAGATCAGCTAAAGTTATGCCAGAACATGTCACCTCAGAGGTGGTTTTGGCCCCTTAAAATCTAAATACTCCCTTCCAGAATGAACTTACTTTAAAACTATGAACTTATAATTGCATTTTTATATTAATTTTCCTTTATTACATTAATATATTGTGAGGGCAACTTATTTGCATGTTGCCTTTGGAGTGCTGAGGTTTAAAGGTTTTTTCTCCAGGCCCTTGGGCTAAAGGCTTTAGTGTCAAGGTTGAAGCTGGGATTCAGTTAAAGCAGAGATCCTGATTCATAATTTTATTCTAATCTCCAAGAAAGTACAGTGCAGCTAGAAGCAATGTTTCTGTTCTCTGGTCCCTTCAGAATCTCAGCAGGTGCTTTATAAAAATGGTTGGGAATAATGTCAGAATGGCAAAACAAGCCTCTCCTGTGTTTCAGAAGTGCCACAGGATGGCAGTATTTCAATAAAGTTCTATTATTTTTAATAACATTTTGGTTGGTCTTTGTTCTGGTTTAGTATCTTCTTAGTATCTATTTGACAGTCAGCTATTTTTCTATTGAGAGATTCTTATTACTTTATATGAGGAAACAACATTCTAACTTTTTAGAATTCAATCTGCACGTACAGGTCTATTGCATCAGAAATAGTTTCCAAACTGTGGTATGGGATCATTGGCTGAAAAGAATTAAAGTTATTAAGGGAAACGAATAAAGTTAGCAGGGCAAGTTGCAAATTTTTATCTCTCAGAGGTTGAACCTGACCAGGTGCGCTCAGAGCTTCCATTTCTCTTTCAGTACTTTAAAGACCAGATTCTCAAACCTGGCCAGTCAGCATAATGGTGGGGAAAGAGCAATGGAACAAGGGTGAGGTAGAATTTTACACAATCGCTTCAGCTCCTGTTCCTGAGATCAATGTTCACTGGCTTAAAACTGCAGGCAGGCAAATCAGAATGTAGTGGGCTCTAGCATTTTTGGGTTTCGGTTTGTCTCCTCTCAGCTTCTTCTGACTTTAGCATATTGTTCCTGTTGTTCAAAGAGTACTGTCGAGGGTGCTGATCAGCCATCTTGGTTGTTGCCTGAGCCATTACTACATACCTCTTGCTGGCATGCATTTTTTCAGAGTTGTAAAAAGAAAGATATAGTTATTTTTAGATTATGTTAATAATGACTTCTCAGTGTGGCTTTAATGATGACTTTAAACAAAGATTTGTGTTCATGGAAAGACTGAGTTTAGTTTTTTTGGTGATTTTATTTTCCACGTAGTCTAAGAATTTGTAAACTAATAGGACAGGTATTAGAAATTTTTATGTATCACAATGATTAAACTAGTTATCCCACTTTACGCTTAAAGCTTTTTTTACTCTCAGAAAGTATTTTGAACTAAAAATGAATCTATGTTTTATTATAAGAGAAAATGAAATGACTGTATTTGACAGAAAGTTTGATTCTGCATTTTTTGGCCTGCTTTTAATGGGATTTTTTGTTTCATCATTAGGGCTTGGATGAAGATTTGCACCAAAAAATCGCAACAGAAATGAACCTTTCAGAAACTGCTTTCATCAGAAAACTGCACCCTGGAGATGACTTTAGCACAGGTGAGTGGTTCTCTTTACCCACCAAAATCTCTTACAGGGGAATAGGAAGACACTGCAGGTGTATTTATAAAGAATGGGGCTAATTTGTAAGACAGCCAAAGCAAAATCTTGGACTTGTGATGTATCTTACTCAAGATAATTTGCCTGTGGATTCTTTAAAGTATTTGTGCTGCATATCAAATTCATTTTACAACATGCAAACGTTTCTTATTCATAAATTAGACCATTTATTTTAGTGCCTTTTATTAAATAGGCAAATTGCATATAGAAAATCTCCTAAAAATGCTATGTGAAGCTTCTTCAATTAATACTTCTATTACTACTCATAATCTCCTGAGATAATTTCTTATTATGCAAGCAGAAGAATAGAGACAGAATGTGCTTATTCCATATGCACAAGACTGCAAAGTGAGTATAATCTGGTTTGGCTGTTCAGAAAATCATCACTGGGGTAGCTGTAAGGCATTACCTGAGTTTGTCACAAAATATCATTAGCTGTCTGTGGAGCCAATACTGAAAAATGCAGGTTTCCAACAAAACTGGGAAATCTGAAGTTGCCCAGAACAAACGCTGCTCATTTGATTGGTTTGAGTGGAGGGACTTCACTGGTGTTCTCTGGTGGGGCATGTATATATGATGGGAGGGGAAACGGAGAGACACTAGGCAAAGATAGAAAACAGGAGACAAATACAAAGTCCAGTCAGAATCGCTTTGTGGATTAGTTTTCAGCTGAATCAGTTTGCTGAATCTGCTCACTTTGCAGTTGTGTGATGGCATGAGCCAAGGGGCTGGAACCTCACTAGCCTGGAGTTAGATTCCAGGCTCAGGTGTTGTGTTGGCATGCCCTCGCTTTGATACGACATAGTGGAAGAGAGAGGTAAACAGCTTTGGGGTTGGTTATTGGCTCTCTGTGCTGGGTTTGTGTGTGTGGTGTGGTTTTTGGTAGCGGGCAAGGGGGCTACAGTGGTGGCCCCTGTGAGAGGCTTCTCAAAGCTCCCCCGGCTCCAAGTTGCACCCGACTCTGCCAAGGGTTGAGCCAATCAGTGACAGTGGCTGCGCCTCTGTGATAATGTGTTTAAAAAGGGATACCTGGGAGGAGGAGTGGGTGTTGTAAGGAGATCACCTCAGCAAACACAGAGGTCAGTGGGAGAAAGGAGAAGGTGATGGGGAGGGATGTGTGTGTGTGCTGGTGCACCCCCTCCCCTTGCAGCCCATGGTGAGGTGGCAGGGCTGCCCCCCCCTGCCACCCATGGGGACCCACGGTGGAGCAGAGGCCGACCTGTGGCTTGTGGAGGAGCCCACACCGGGACAGGCATCTGTGCCCGAAGGTGGCAGGGACTCTGTGGGAAGAAGTCCCTGCTGTTGTAGTTTGGCACTGGGAGGAGAGCAACATGGGGGGTGTCCCACACCCGGGCAGCTCAGGGAGAGCTGCAGCCCCTGGGAGGGACTCCTGTCAGAGGAAGCTGGTGCAGGACTGTCTCCCGTGAGAGGGGAACCACACGGAACAGGGGAAGAATGCTGGAGTGTCCCCCACCACCACCCCGAGGAGAAAGAAGTGGCAGCACTGACTGCACCCCCCCATTCCCTGCCCCTGCGCTGCTGGGGGGCAGGAGGTAGATGGGGAGTGAAGCTGAGCCTGGGAAGAAGGGAGGGGTGGGGGGAAGGTGTTCTCAAGATGTGGTAATGCTTCTCACTGTCCTACTCTCTTAAGTGTTGTTATTGTTAGTGTCTGAATTAAATTTATGTTCTTTTTTCTTCCTCTAATGAGTCTTTTGCCTGTGACTTGTAATGGGTGAGTCATCCCTCCCTGTACTTATCTCAATTTCTGAGCTTTTTGCTTTATTTTCTCCTTTCCAATGCTGGGAGGGAAGGGGTGAGTGAGCGGCTGTGTGGTACTCAGTTGCCTTCTGAGCTCAAATCACAACACTGTCTGAAAGAGGCCCTAGGACAGTATGCAGAGAAACTGTTGTTTATCATTTGATTGTTTGTTCGGGGAGTGGAATTTTGTACAGTCTCTGTAACTAAAGAGGAATTTCTTAAAGTAACTATCATTGCTTACTCCTATTGTTAATAAATTGATATTTGTTTTGGGGTTAAACCAATTGATTGAATCAAGTTGTGATAATACTTTTCATTTTTCATGTTAGCATTTTTCATGTTAACGCCTTGCTAGTATGCTTAATACATCTGTTTATTTTCAAGTCATCCATATCTAACACCATATAAAATGCCAGCTTCTTTCTCACTCAAAAGGTGCTTTTGATATTAATGGGAGTAAAGTTTGTGATGTCAGACCCAAGCAGCTGCCAAAGAGAGGCACAATTTTTTCAGAGGAATTTAGTCACTGATCTGCACCTGAGGATGTGTGTATTTGAGGGATGGTGGGAGAAAGAGGAGACCAGGAACATCAGAATGTCATTGATGAGATTATCATCTGCTTCTGGAACATTAATTGGTGTTGTAAGGGCTCCTAGACAAAGAGTATGTTTTTGCAGGAGTGTTTGTGATCAGTGCATTTGATTTAACTTTATTTTTTAAAAATTCTACATTAATTTAGGGATACATTAATTTGTGAGACTACAAAATGTCTTCTCTGTCTGAGTACAGCTGTATGTCTCATGCGTCCAGGCAGATGTTCTGGGTCACAGGGCTTGTCTGTCTCCAGTCAGTCATGGCTGACTCCATTTCCTCCTGCTTTCAGCCACAGTTTCCACTTGGGGGAGTGCATTAACGCCACAGGGCAGGCTCACAGCTGGGTTCTGTGCCTCCCCTGTCTTGGAGGGCTTCTCTGCTGTGGCCATTAGTTTCACCTACTAGGTTTTGTTAGGATTCTATTTGTTTTCATTAGGGAGGGGACTGAGTTTAATGCACTGTTTTTTCACAAGGGCAATGAAAAAACTTGCTTGGGGTTTTTTTAAGTATCGTTTGCTTCTTTTGCACCTTTTAGTTGTGTTAGTATGGTAATTACTAATTTGAAATATATTTTCATAAGTATTATCTTAAATGTCATGGTGCAAGAACTCTGCAAAAGCCAGAGGTAACCAAGTATAGTGCACTTGGGTTCCAATTTTTTTGGAATAACAAACAGAAATAAGTTTCCTAGTGAAATTAAGGGTAAGCATACATTAGAGGCTTTTACCAGACTTGACTGATGGTTTAAGCAAAATAAGTTGTAACAGGCCTAGCTCCCATACAGGTTCCATTATACCAACAAAACTATCTTTAGCCCCTAAACCCGCCTGCAGTTGTATTGAGTTTATGACTATGTCTTTGCAGGTTTCCATAATATACAAGGCCACGGAGGCTTTATCTTCTAAAATTCTCTGCTTTATTCCAGATTGCCACAAAAATCACCACTAGCAAGTATACCTATGATTAATAAAGTGAATCTATCTATCTATCCATGATAAATTATTATCAGTGATCAGTCGCACAGAGGAATCAATAATAGCAGCAAGAAGTATATATATAATATTACAGGTTACTACAAACATATCACTAGTCAATAATCAAACTTACCAATAATGTAACAGTAGATATTCTTATGGTAGATGACTTATATGTAGATATATGGTACCAAGCTCATTAAATGGATTCCAGAAGGGAGGACAAACAGATCCCAGAAAGGGACACAGCCATCCCAGGAGTGAGAGGAGAAACCAAACCAAGGTCAGAAGAGAGCTGAGTGAGTGACTGGTAAAATAACAGGCTCACACCTAAAAGATGGTCTCTGTCATGGAGTTTGGAGTCATCCATGTGTCCCCGAGAAGGGTCCATGATCTTGAAAGTTCTTGCAGACCTCTTGAGGAAAGGGAAAAAAATACGTAGCGCAGGAAGTTCTCAGAGAGAGAAGCTCCATTTTTGGTAAGAATTAAGTAATTTTTGTATTGTAGAGACATAAGAGAATGTAGGACAGCATCACTCCAAGAAGCCAATAGATGCTGTTATTTTCTGTTTTTCACCTGGAACAGCCAATAGATGATGATGTTTTCTACTCTCTCAGACCAGTTTTTATTTTTCTAGTCTGTTTTCCTGTTCCTTCAGTTAGAAAAGCCAGTGGTGGTTACCGATTCTTACTTTCTTGGGCTGTTTTCCCCTTTTTCCAGACTATTTTTCACCTTTTCAGGTGATAGGTTGCTGTTACAGTTTGTTGGTTTTGTGCTTGCCGATGGTATCTTGGCACGTTGCGGGTTTCTAGCTACCCAGCAGCACTTCAGAGGTGCCACCTGGGCTTCTCAAGGATGTTTCTGGTTCCCAGGCTGGCGGGCTTTTCTACTCTGCAGCGCCTTTGCTCTCCTAACAAAGTAGCTTTCCTCTGTTAGTAGTACACTCCTGTTGTTGACCTGACTCAAAAGCAATAGCTATTCTGAAAATCACTACAAAATAGGTTGCTAAAAGTGTGTTTAAGACCAAGACTGATTATAGTATGCATTTTGAATAACTGAAATGTCATTGCTCTGTATAAATTTTTGAGATCAATTGAAGAAAAAGACTTCTTCCACTTAATAACACTAAATAAACTTTATTTTCAAGGTTCCTCCTTTGGACTCAGATGGTTCACCCCAACCAATGAAGTTCCTCTCTGTGGTCATGCTACGCTTGCAGCAGCTGCTGTGTTGTTTCACATCCAAAGTATGTTTACAAGCCATTTATTACAATAACATTTCAGAAAATGTACTTCTAATTAAGATATCTATTTTCTACAGCAAAGGCAATTAAATATTCAGAACATTTAGAGAATGCATATGGAGATACCTTAGGTATTGTCTGTTACAACTGCTCTGTAATTAAATGTTGTAGTCTGATGCCTACACTTGGATTTCAGTACTCTACTATTACTCTTGTTTAAGAAAAGTGCTAAATATGCGAATGTCATCTGTTAGAGGTACAGTAGAATTTGGTGAATAGGGAATATTTCTGTTAAAAGGAAACTCCCATTCATTCTAGGGATGTGCAGGAAAGATTCACTGGCAACCGCTGTGTTTATTGTTCTTAGCAGATTGAATTAGTTGGGAGTTTTGTCTCAGAATACAGGTTTACTGTAGTTACTATATTTTAGCTGCATAACTAACTTTTTCTGAATATACTGAGCTACTCTAAGAGCTATAATAATTTAGATTCAAATTCTTATGTTTAATGATGTTGCCATATTCTCTCTAGAAAACACAAATTCAGTTCTCACATTTGTGACTCTGAGTGGGGAATTAAAAGCCAGACAAGTGGAAGATCATATTGTCCTCGATTTACCACTTTACTTAACCTACCCACAGGTCAGTCAAAATTTTATTATTTAAGGCTTTCAAGAAAAGTATCTGTTTACGTCTGTATGTGTATGTAAGTATATCTGTCTTTCTATTACTGGATAGATACATACATATGTATGTTCTGTTTTTTACAATTTTTTTTTTTTTTCTTCAGGTACTTCGGGAAGTAGAAGAGTTAATAAAGGTAAAAAAAAATAATCTGTATGTGGTCTTCGAAGCACATTTATAACAGCTATACTTATTTTTCTATATGAAAATGGCTGAAAAGTGGCGACATGGAATTGCTTCGTGTACTAAACTTCACAGGTCTGAGTCATGCAGCTCAGGAAGTGGAATTCTCCAAAATGCTGCAGTAGAACTTTTGTCTCCCACTACCATTGACTGGAGTGCCAGTATTTATTTCAGTGGTGTTTTCAGCCTATTATATGCATGTGAGGACAATCTAGCGTCCTTGCGCTCTTCAGGTCCCTGAATTTCTTTCCAAATTGGCATATACAGAGCTCTTGACACCAGCCATTTCCGTTCATGCACTTAGTGCCTTTACGTTTCTTGCTTGCATGTACTTCAGAGCTGCATGAAACACTTTGCACAAGCCCTGTTCTAGCAGGGATTTTGTTCTACAAAAATTTTAAGGAAATAATATTTCGTATTCAAATGACAATGCTTTTCGTTGTCTCCTTTCACTTTTCCACCAGGTAGCCATTGGTGACATGGTTGTTCAAGATCTTCGTTATTCTCCTGACACAAAGAAACTCTTAGTCCGCCTCAGTGATGCTTATGAAAGGTGTCTTATACTTTTTTTTTTTTTTAAATCAAGTGTGCAGAAATTGAGTCTGATTGTTTAACTTCTATTCCTTACATACTAGGCTCTTCTATCTAGTTTTAAAACAGGTGGAGATACAAACCTCTCAGTTTAAATTCTTGTGTTAAATAGTTACTTTATCTTCTAAGGTGAGCTTATTGAACCTGCAGAGATGAATAAGATCAGTCTGAAATCTTTCTCCAAGGCAAGGTGGTATAGAAAACAGTTTTAATGATGGTGTATTTTTGCCATCCGAGTAAAAAAATGATCCAGTAACCTAGCAGGAAATCAGGAGTCTTGCTTCTCAAATGAAGAAGTAATAGTTGCATAGCTGTAGAGGTCCGCTTAGTGAGACAGGGCACATTGACAGAATGCCATGGGTTCTTCTTCCCATTTGACTATAATCAGCTTACACATACTTAACATCATCATAAGTAGCTTTATAGAGGAAATTCCACTTCAAATTATCCCAAAGTATTTGTTAAACTCAGAGAGCTGAATTTCCTTGTTAAATCAAGTATGATTTGGATACATGTTGCTGAAACACAATTTCTTTAATCAGGCTAAATTACTATTATTTTCACTTGAAATTTGGCTTAACTACTGTTTCAAGATTGAGCTAGTGGGGAGGTGGAAATATCGTCAGCTGAGTACTTACTACTTTTTCAAACTATTTTGTAGGGAGGTATCGGCAACTTCACAGACTTGAGACTGTTGTAGAGTGCTTTAGAATCTGAATGGTGTTAGTTGTTTGCTTGCTCTGAAAGAAGGAGTGGTGCTTGCTGCTTGCGTTCTGTAATGATGAAATACTTCTTTCAATGATTAAAATGTTGAAACAGAAGTGTGCTCTTTTTTAGCTAATATTCCATGATGCTCTGTTTACAGAAATAAGCAGGAAATGTGTGGCTTAAACTTTCTTCTCTGCTTACTCAGGGTGTATTATATTCAGGGTAGTCTTCTGTCAGATGACATTGGGAGGGCAATGCTAGGAATCTTGCTTCCTTTAACATTGTACTGTGGCTGTTTTGGGATTGTAGAGAAAAAGATTTTGTAGTTCTATGTTTCTTTTTAATACTTAAATTCATGTAAAATGAAGAATATTGGCTATTAAAATTCTGTCATTATATTCAAGGTCTGTGCTGGAGGAACTGCAAGTGAGCGCACAACGCTTTTTGTCAGCTGAAAGGACAGGAAAGGTGAAAGAACTCATACTGACTCTTAAGGGAAATTCCAGTGGAAAACATAAAGGCCATGATTTTTACTCCAGATATTTTGCACCTTGGTACGGAGTTCTGGAAGACCCTGTCACAGGTATGTGTTTTTTGTGATAAGTGACTCTTACTCGTTTCAGTTCAATTAAAAGCTTCTTAATAAATTTCATTAGTCTGGTCTTGTACTTTGAGGTCTTGCTTATAAATTACCATTTTTATATAGACAGCAGGAGTGTGCTCATTAAACTGAAAACTTTCATGACTGATGCCAACTCCTTCAGATAAAATCAGCTTCTGTTGTGGTTTGAGCCTACTCAGCAGCTAAATGCCACACAGCCGCTCACCCACCCTCCCCCCACTTGGGAATGGGGAGGGAATCGGAGGGGCAAAGGGGGACTCATGGGTTGAGGTAAAAACAGTTTAATAATAGTAACAGAATAATACACTGACAGCAGTATCAGCAGGTAATGTACAATACAGCTGCTCACCGCCTGACACCTGCCTGCTCCCGGCCAGCAATCCCCAACACAAAAGCCCCACAGCCACGCTCCCAGAAGTGGCAGCCTCTCCTGGCGCTCTCCTGCCTTTATATAGTGAGCGTAATGTCACGTGACACAGACTATCGGCCAATCCGAGCCCAGCCCTCCAGCTGTGCTCCCCCTGCCCCCGCACACAGGTGAGGGCACTGGGACCTGGGGAGCCCCTGGGGTCTCGGGGTGCTGCAGCACTCCTCCCGCTGCCAAAACAAACAGGAACTCTAGTCCAGCCCCAACCAGGACAGCTTCTTGCTGTCATCAGGCCTGATATTCCTGGGTCTCTTTCAGATCTTTTTCCTGAAGTATTCCAATTGGAGAAAAGTAAGAGACTAATTTGGTATTGAATGGTTGTTGCAGTAGAAGTTCATAGCCACTTCTGTGGGTGTTCTGTATTTTTTTTGTTGTACTTTAGCTGAGATCTCCTCTGGTTTCATGACACTTACTGTGGATTTTCTCAGGCCTAGGAATAATACGAACTCTGCTAGTTGTATTTTTAGGGGCATTTAACAGGCTAGTTTTCTGCCTGTTCCTTTTATGTTCCACTCAGTAGGTGTGATGATGATTGCTGCAGAATGGTGTTACATGCTTAGGTACCAGTTAATCACAGGCTAATTATTGGGCAGCTGAGAAGTTACTCAAAAATGCTCATTAAAAGTTTTGCTCAGTAAAGAGAAAACTTCCTTTGTTGGAATAGTGGTAGTTATTCAGCACTCCTAGCAGCAAGAAAGGTTTACAAAGAAATACAAGTCATGTATGTCAGTTATTTCTTAAGCTTTCAGTCCAGTTTTCCAGATAAAGTCATGGACAGAGTCTGGTACACATATCTAATCCCAGAACTCATTCCTTAGGATTTCTGGGAAGACTAGTATTGGTATGTAGGAAAAGCTAGAAGTTTCCTGAATTCCTGAGATTTTTCTGGGCTTCTTATAGCTCACTGTTTTTTGTCTTCCATCTTTAAGTGTTGTTTCTCTTACAGAAACAAATTTTATTGTATAGCTGAAGTATATTTTTAACAGTGTTGTGGCTTTGTATTATATTTATTTTGTAATGATTTCTTAATAATGGTACATGTCCTGGTGCCTTTGAGCCCTGATAATTATAGTTACTTCACAGCAGGATTTCCAGCAGAGTGTCTTTGCCCCTAGCTGCTAATGTAGACTGAAGCCGCGTGTCTAGCTATGATTCTGAGAAGTCATCCTAAGTTTTTAAGCCATCTGTTGATCAGGAAACAAGAAATTGGTTTTTTAGTTTTCATGAAGCTGTGGTGAGACCTTAAAGATCAACTTGAGTTATATCCTGATACTTAACAGCATTCAAGACTGAAAAGAAGCCTGAGATTTTGTTGTGAAAACTGTTAGGAGAGGAAATACTTTTGTTTTACACAGTGACTTCTATCTACCTGTTCTTATTCTTAAAAAATATCCCAAATCCTATTCAGATTTTTGATGGGTAGCTGTTCATGTTTCATTGAATAACATCATGTTGAGAGGAATAATATTTTGAATTTAATGTTTTGAGATTCTGTAAATAGGAAACCAATTTGTGGCTAATCTTGAAGCCCTTGCCTCGGCAGAGTTTCTGTTGAAGCCAGAGGATGAGGAAGTAATACTTCTTTGTCATAAATAAATTAAATATTAAAGCCTTAAGATCTGTCTGCTGTGAAAACTCTTAGGTGTTTTTGCCCTAAAAACGTGTGGCACTTGATTTGTTTACAGCATTTACATTTTGAATGTGCTTGCTCTATAATTTCATAACATTTCTCATTTAATTCTCTGCTTTGTTTTCCAATTTCTTTTAAGGATCTGCCCATGCTGTTTTAAGCAGCTACTGGTCAGAGCAGCTGGGGAAGAAAGAAATGCTTGGTAAGAGAAACTTTTCTTGCAGAACTGCCCATTTATGTAAAAGCTACTCACTAAAAAATAAAAAGTTATATTATTATTACATTCCACGCTGTAGCAATAACTCCTTATCCATTTTCTCAATATGAATAGAACATTATGTAATATTTTGTGTGTGAGGTAATCTTTAAGAAATTGCTTTCTTTCCCACCCTCCAACATGACATATCATGCCTGCAGGAGGTTTGAAGTAGCCGTTTCTGGATTGTAACTCTCTGCAGGTAGTTTTTGATCTTGTCATTTGGATTTTAGTAGTCATGACTTCTCATCATAATTGAAGCCTGGTGAACTTTGGATGATGTTGGTTTTGTGTTTTAATTGAATTTTACTTGATTACTTGGTCTTTATGGCTTGAATTTTGGGTATTGGGAAAAGGTATTGGTATTTTCAGACATGATGTGTACTTATCAGTATGATTTGGTAAGTGTATTCCTTTCTCTCGTGTATTAAGATGAGACTGATAGTCATATGGTTTCTGCCTGATTTTGGAATTTTCTTGAGAATTACTCCAGATTAATCCCTTCAGTGAGTTCTTTAGGAAACTTAGGGTTTAGAATAGCTAGTGTTATTATAGGTAGATAAGAAGAGGTGATGTATTTTTAACATTCAGATTCTACATATGTAATATGCTTTATGGTACATTTTTTTTCTGGTTTTGGATACATCTGTGTTTAGGTATGAAGATCAGTTTTCCTTAGGATGATGATCTTTTACATTGTAGCAAGGAAGGAAATAAGAAAGAATAGTCACTGACGAATTTGACTGGCCTTAAATATATAAGAATGGGAACAAGATACCAGGACACTGGCAAATTTTATTTGTTTGTGATTTTATTTGCAGTCTTACTTTGAAATGATCAAGCCTTAAAGGAATTTGAGATCGCTGGACCTCTGAAGTCAAGGAACAGATTTATTAGTATTCTTTCAATTGATGAGATGTGCCTGTTAGCTCATGTATTTGTCGTTAAGCAAGAAACTGAAGAACTTGGTGGAAAAAAACAAGAGAAACTGTTAATACATGACAAGAGTAGATAAAGAGGCATTGGGTGTCTGTTTGCTTCTCATGTTGCTAGTGCTTTGCCAGGGAATGGAAGAACAACAGAAGCAATACAAAATACTATAGTCCCTATCTGGTTCCTGAGACAGGGGCAGGGGATTACAATTCTTTCATGTACCTGACAACAATTAAGTTCTTGACAACATTTAGTTTAGAGCAGAGATTAGACCCTTAATCTAATAAGATTCCTTGTCCATAAAAGTAAACACTTTCCCAAACAAACAGCTTCCTTGAATATCAGCCTTCCTATATTTGGTCGAATGAATCTCAAAATGGATTTTCTTGAGAATGATAAGCTTTTTAAAAGATCTGTTTGTGCTCCATAGCTCAGTATGGTAATCCACAACGACTGAGATGTCCTCCATTGTGGATTGAAGGAAAAGGTTTAGCATTCTGTTCTGAAGATCTCATATTTGCATTAGCATCACACAAATCTATAATATTTTCCTTACTGTTGGAGGGGGGAAATCCTAACATATTTTCTGAAGAGGATAAACTGTCTTTGGTAATGCATCCTTATGGACTAGCTGTTTCTCAGAAGATTCAGACATTTTTGGATGTTTGTGTGGAATTTGAAACTCTTCCGTGCCATCTATAGACACTGCTTCTTTAAGTAATCAGACAGAAATTCTGACTGTATTTTTGGATGATACTTTCTGGCTGTTTTGAGTTTTCATGTATTTTGCATGTACCGTGCCATTTCCTTTTTTAGAGAAACTATCTCAGGCAGCAAAGATAGATTTTTTTTTTTTTATTTTTTTTTTAATTTTTCTTTCATGCATATATGTCCTCAAACTCCTTTTGTGGTAGAAATCGTATTAACCAGGTTTAAATAGAACAAGTTAATTTGACATCTGATCAATGTGTGGTCTTTACATGTGTTTGAGAAGTAACTTTTCCTTACATGCACATGACTGAGGGGTATTGAATTGTGCTGGGGAAAATTCTATTAGTAATGAGATTATTTGGCAAAGATGGCTGGCAATCAAGAAGATTCCATATCACTAAAGATTAATAGATGCAAGCATCTTTTGACTTTTTAGGAACCTTTGCAGTAGCTTCTGTAATATCCGATACCTTTTATTGAAAGTATAAAGGAAGATTTTCTTCTGCAAAATGAAAGATCTGTTAGTTCCAAAATAGATCAGATATGAAATAATATAAAAATGAAGAACATTAAATCTATTGTCAGATCTCTCTGGGTATTGTGACCTCCAGGAGAAAGTCAGTGGCATCTTTGCTGAAATATCAGACATAATTTCCTGGTTTGGGGTCCTTTTCCTACTTTTATTAAACCAAATTGTCAAACAACCACCACCTCCATGAGCTACAAAGAGAATTTTCCAGTTTATGATCTTTCTTGAAACTATCTACATATGCTTGAATTTTAAGATGCGGGTTGAATCAGAATTCAGTATCAGTCCTTGCTTTTTTTATATATTTATATATTTTAAATATTTATTTATTTTTAGATACAGGGCTACAGCTTGATATATCCTCACTATCAAGAATCTAGTATTTAGTATTTAAAAAAATATAATCTCTCATATCAGATAAATAGACTTTCATAATTGCTAATGAATGCAGTACTTAGCAACTGTCTCTGTATCCAGCCCTTGACATAGTTTTCACATTTCTAAGATAACATTTATGATGGTGCTTAGGGAAACCGATATATTCAAACAGATTATAGAGGACTTTCCAAATTACTGTGAAGAAAAGGAGCTGTATCCAGGACGATTTTTAATCTCAGGTGAAGCTTTCTGTACTGGTTTACTTTAGACAACCGTATTGATTTATGGGGAAATTTTGGTTCTTGTTACTGTTTAACTTCTCAGATTCCTTCACAGTACAGAACAGGTTTATAGCATTTGAATTTTTTTTTTTTTTTTTTTTTTTTTGGCTGGAGGGGTTGGGGGTGGAGAGAGGAAAAAAATCAACCAGCAGCCAAAACTCAAACCTTGCTTTGATAACTGTAAGATCACAGTTTCACAAATCTTGCCAGTGTTTCTTTCAATACAAAGTCTGCCTCATCTTCTAACTTTACAGTCTCCTCACTTTTTTATTTTGGTGTGAAGAAGTTGTTTTATTAAGATAGAATAAATTTACTTGTATTTAAGTTTTTCCTAATTTGTATTCTCATGAAGGGTTTTACAGAGTTGTAATTTCAGCTTTCATCTTTCCCAGGTAACCTCAACATATAGATTGACCACATCAGATTTATACACAAGTGTAACATTTCTGACAAAGGAGAGGTGTTTCCCTCCATCAATCACCAGATTTATCTGCCTTCTTTCTTAGAATAAAAATGATCTTGGAGACCCTAACTTCACTTAAGTTAAGGAATAAGTGCTTCTTTCATCGTCCCTTTTTATAGCATTTAGAAATTTGACCAAAATAATAGTGATTTCTAAAAATAGATATTTTTACAAGAGGGGCAGTTGTTCCTGAGTTGATACCATTAAGATGACGTCATGAAGAAAATCCATTACTCCTCAAATTCTGTAAACAATGGTAATTTATATACATCTAGGTTGATAAGAAGCTCCTCAAAACAACAGGATAATATTAGTACAAGGCCATTGCTGCCTTGTGAATGCAGGGATGCATGATTCCATGAATCTGTGTTATCAGCATGCTCAATCTCATAGTCCTTGTACCTACTCTTAAACTTTCCTCTGTCTCAGGTTAATAACAGAAGAATTCAGGGCACTGTGAATTCAGCTGTTCTATGTTATTTCTACAGATCAGCATGTACATACTTGGTTTTATATAAAATATGTATAAAAAGTGTATGTAATATGAGATACTCCTAGTAAATTCAGGCATGGAACGGATGTACAATGACTTTGTGATCCAAAAAGTGAATGCACATCAGAGATGCTTGAAGGTCTCTGGTGACATGGCTCTTAAATGAAATCCTCTAGTTATTGAAATGTTCCATGCAGAGCTGTTTACTTTCAGACATAGTATGAAATATCAGTGTGCTTCTGTGTGAGAGAAGGAGAATATCAAGTATTATTTTCATACAAGCTTGGGTAAAATTTTCTTTTATGGATTTTTTTTTTTTCCTCCTACTTTGGAGGTTTCTTTAAAAATAAAATAGAATGGACCGGTATCAAAACAGTCTCAGTAATCCTGCCATGAAACAGGCAGCACTGTTTCCACATTTAAAGAAAGAAAAAAAACCCCAGCCACCCTCTGAAAATCAGAAATAATTAATCTCTTTTATTTAAATCTGCTATCACGAGGGAGTGGGAGAGTTTAGCTGTGTATCCACACTTGGCAATAATAATTGATCAAATTTAACACGGTGTGCATCTTTAAGAGTCCGAAATAGTCAACTGAAGGCATTACTCCATACAAAGATGTTGTTCTGACAAGTTAAAAACAATAACCGATGATTCTGTAAGTGGAAAAGGACAGAAAGTATCAATATCTATCTTCATATAGTTCCTGTTTCCACTGTTTTGGAGTGCTTGCTTTGTCTGAGAATCTAATATCCTGTTACAAGGAAGAGCTTTCTTGTCAGCTGTGGCTGAGGAATTGTTTTAAAGCATACAATATATATGCCATCTGTATATGTACTCTGTTGGGATCTGAATACAATTTCTACCCGCTTTACAAATTGTGGGTTTGGGAGGAAAAACATTTTCTTAAGATTTGAACGAATTTTTCAGTAGTTGGAAGTTCATTGAGTAAGGAGACCACGAACTTTAATGCCTCTTCATCCATTTACAGCCTTTTACAAAACCAGCACTCTGTGAAACTCAAACCTTTGCTAAATGCCATCTGAACCAGATCATTTTCTGATCAAGTAGTTGTGCAACTGAAGTTGGACTACTGAAACAAGTTGACAGACTCAACATGCTAAGTGAGCATTATTGTCCTACCTGTATATTACTAAACGGTTCTGGCAAAAGTTTAGTTCTGCAATTATTTGCAAGTGAAAGGCTATTTCTACTCCAATGTTACCCAGCTGTATTACATTATATATTCAGGATTATATAAATCAATATCTGTTCCTGTCTGTGTAAGAATTTGGTCTCAGTTTATGACAGCTGAAGCAACATCTATGTTTCTTTGTAGACTTTCTCCATGGCCTGCTTGAGCTTTATTTACCCATTAGCCAAACACATTCTTTGAACGTTATACCTCCTTCAGATGTTCAGTACCAATAAAGTGGTTCTTTCTTGCATGGATAATACTTGGTGTTCTTCATTCTTACCTACAGAAACTGTCTGCCCCATGAGTGGGAGAATTAAAGACCTCTTTAGATATACAAAGGAAACTTGGTTGGCTACATCACAGGAAACTTTCCTTCACTACTTGTATTAACCAGCATTTTTGTCAGGCTCAGTAGACATGTTCTAGTCTGACACACACCCTCAGCTAATCATCTCTAAAGACAATTCATCCAGAGTGTCCCTGGTGCTGCTTGCTTTCTGGAGACAGAGGCCTCATTTCTCGGAGTTTTCAGGGATTTAAAAATAATTTGTGACAGATACTAGTTTTTTTAACTGTGGATTCTTCTTTCCATTTAGCTTTTCAATGTTCCCGCCGTGGAGGAGAGTTGAGGATTTCACTGCGTAATGATGGAAGAGTTGACATTGCGGGGAAAATTGCTATTGTATTAAGAGGAAACCTGACTTTTTGAAGAAATTGACGCTAATCTCCCACACCTTCAAACTGTTCATATTAAGCTGATTATATCTTCGCTCTAGGCAGTGAATCACCATGGTCCTCAAAAGTCTTTGATTACTTACTGTCCGTTTTTAAAAATTGCTCGACAATGCTCACTTCTAATCTTGAAGATCCTTGGTATTGTTATCTTCACTTTCATCTTGCCACTTCACATGAACACTGACCTCAGAAAACATCCAAGGACAGCTGTCTTGTTTTTCTGCTGTTAAATGATTCTGTTCTTTATTTCCAAATTTGGTGTTAAAAGCAATTCCTGCTTCCCAGATTGAATTGTAAACTTTTACGATTGATAAAATAATCAACCTTTTTTCATATTCAGTAATTTTCCATGAAATATGACTAACAGTCCTTTTTTTTTTTTTTAAATATCTTTTCTCTGACATATATTGAAATGATGCTGATAAGTTAATTAATTAACTTGAATTAAAATATGAAAAAATATAAAGAGTTTAGAAATGAGCTTTATGGTTCTCTTTTATGAACATTATTTTTCTAAGATGAATGATATTGCAGTGGCCCGTAGTACTGCTGCTTAGCTAATATTTTTAATTAAAGTTTTAGCAGAGGGATTTAAGAGATTGACATAAGGACATAAAAATGATTAAAATCTGAAAGAAAACTTTATAGGTTACAGCAATGTTATGTACTTTTCAAAGACTGAAGATTTGCTCATAAAGTTTCTTCTGTAGTTTTCTTCATGAAGTGTACTGATTCAGATTTTGTCACTTTCTCTTTTAGTGTTCTTGTCATTCTCTTGATTTATTAGGAATATTGAACTGTGTCAGTTACTCTAGCTAAAACTCTGGTTTCCCTTTCAAATGAGTTGTTTCCTAAGCTTTGCTTTAGTTCTTTGCAGCATTTCAGGATGAATTATTTTAAACTCAGATACATTTTCATCCTGTGGGAACAGCTGGATGTCAGCCCCTCATAAATTATGAGGAACTTAGTTGTGCCAAGTTTCCCTGTTTCCACTTACTTTGAATTCTACCATAACTTGTAACTTACATCTTACTTAAGTCCGGGTAGCTGGAGGCAGGTAACAGTGTGAGAATCCTAGAATTCATTTGAAAGTTTCTAGCTCCTGCAGCTACACAGAACATATGGAAAATATGATTTAAATGCACTGCTAGCTGGCAAGCAAAAGGAATTTTCAGATGGAAATGCATGTTGTTTTTCCCTGTTCAGTCTTGAAGTTCATGGACCTGAAATGTGGTTTATAAACATGAACTCATCATCAGAGGCAAGACATGGCTATGGAGCCAGCTTAACGGCAATGTTGCGATGGCATATTTAGTAGCTGCCTTGACCTTGCCTTCTCACAAAGCAAATTGATCACTTTCTGACTGGTGACCTGAACCTTCTTGAGGAGCAGTACTGCAGGCTTGTTTTGCTGCATTTGCTACTTCCTACTGGCTTATGTAAAGAGTGAATCTGGCCCATAATCCCGAGATTCTTTGGAAAAAAAAAAATCAAACCTTCCTTAAGAATATAAATGAACTAAAGAAGCAATTATTCACCCATCCACATTTAACAAATAGACAGTACAATTATTTTTTTACTCAGGGGGACTAATGAACAAAGCCCAGTAAATTTTAAATATACTTGCTATCTAAATTTCCTGACCAAACCAGTATCTCTACTGCTTAATGAATTTTTTTTTAGTAGTTTATTGCTACTTTGTCCCTATTTCTGCTCAGGATAGAAAAATCACCAGAGCTCAGGTGGGAAACTATGCAGTAATGTGTTTGTAATCAACAGATTAGTTAATCAGCCATGATTTATTAATGATGAATTAATTATACCTGATTGTGCAGTTCTGCTGCCTAAATGGAGCTTTAAAGGGGTTATTTTATTAATCATCATTGTGCTAATTGCAGACACTTACAGAAGGATTGCTAATTAAACATGCAACCATATGCAAAACAAGCAAGGCTGCTGAGAGTGGCAAGAAAAAGAGCACTCATTTTCTGAGTAGCAACTTTATTCTCGTGAAATATTGTGTAGTTGACCTGCTGATCCTAATTACTCACTAAGATTTATTTTAATACATTGCACATTTTTGGTCAACAGTAAAGGAAAATAATTGTTGTGACAAATTTTGTCCATCTTTCCTACTGCAAAAAATAGGTTGGGTAAACTTCAAATAAAATTTAGAATTTGTGTGGCCTTGTTTCATTCTTTCACGTGAAGGATTTACCTGTTGGCTTTATTAGCTGTATATAGTTAATCTAATTTAACTATCTTAACTTTGAGCGAGATCCCGAATGCTAAGTTACCTTAGCACCAAATGAAACATCTGATTTCACTTGAAATGAGGATTCAGACTTAAAATTGCACAAATTTCACATCAGGAGAGAGAGGAACACATTGATGTTTTACTAAGTTAATTTCCAAAAGCCAAAGTCATCACTGAAAATGTGGAAAGGAAACAGTACTTAAAGGTAGAATTCTCTGAAGAGACTACTATAATTTAAATAAACGTTAGTGCCATGTGATCTTCAACTGATGCAGCAAAATTTTTAGGTCCTTCTAATGCTAAATTAAATCTTTGAGTGCTATAGAATTTCATGCAGATTTTATCATCATGGTCTTTCTCTGAACTGTTATTTTAATGAAGGTTGCTAGGCCTCATTAATTGAAAAAACTTTTGTTCAAGAGCGAATTTTCTGGAACTGCCTGTATAATATTACAATTATTAGCGTAGAAGTTTGGAATTTAATGTTTCTCTAAGAAAACAGTTAACTTGCATTGTTTGGATTAAAATGTTGAATCAAAAGTTAAAGTAAGTGAAGATACTGAGTGGGAGGTTGGAAAATGTAGTGTCTCTTTGTTTAGTGTTTCTGATGCAGAGGATCCCTGGAGGTATTTAAAAGACATGTAGATGTGGTGCTTAGGGTCATGGTTTAGCAGGGGAATTGGCAGTGCTGGGTTTACAGTTGGACTCGATGATCCTAAAGGTCTTTTCTAACCTAAATGATTTTATGATTTGCAGAACTGTTTTCTGTTGGTCTCTCAATTAAGACTGTAGCATAGGGTTGTGTTGAACCAAGAGCAAATTATGTGAAGAGAAAATACAATGCCAAAAATTCCTGTGTGCTTGAGAGTTATTTATTGTGATAGTGTTCAACAGAAGGCCATTAAGTTACAGGCCACGATAAGTTTCGAGTAAATCTGTGGCTAGATCCAACAGCTGAGACATGAAAATTTAAGTGCACGTTTGCTCATTTTACTTCCTTGGTGTGTGTCTCTGCAGAGGCATAGCTGATGTAGGGCTCTGGAAGAAAGCACATAACCATGAGGAAGGAAGCAAGATAAGAAAAATTGAATGGCAGAAACCATCTAAGTTTGTTGCTGTGGAATTTAGCGTACAGATAAAAGGGATGAAAAGAAAATGAGAAGTCGTTTTTTTTATTAAAAAAGCCATTTAACAGATTTGCTTAAAGGATTCGTGAATATACTTTGCAATTTTGTGTTACCTAGATGAGACTAGACAGAAAACATATATTGAAAAGTTATCAAAATTGGGAAATTTTGCAAAAGGTGGAAATAGAAGATTTCATGAATGTCTACACATCAGGAGGTCGTGGAAGGGAGCCATGTGTTTCATAAGGGATAGGAAGGGAAATTAGCAACAGATGAGGCAGTTATTTGTGGGAAAGGAAAACTTTCTTTGTCTCTGTATTCATGAGAGTGACAAGGAAACATGCCAGGAACAGAGGGAACCTTCCCAGAGTTAATAAAAGGAAACTAAATGAGAATTAAGAGTGATGCTTGATCAGGTAAAAATTAAATTAGTTTCAATTAAAAACTGAAAAATTTGCCAGTTAAGCGGTTTGATTCAGACTTACAATTTTTTTTTTTTTTTTTTCCCAGAGGAGTAGCTCTGTCTTTACAGTAATTACTAGGCTTAAACAAAAGGACAGAACAAGGGCTTTTTCTAAGTTGCTGAGTCACTGCCCTCCTTTTATTTCCTAAAATTTACTACAAACTATAATTAAAAATTTTCAAAAGAATGAGAAAGTAGTATAACAAAACCCAATACATGACCAGATAGTTGAAAAGAGTGACAATTTTTTTACTGGAGGTCAGTTTTAGGCTAAGACCTTTAGTTTAGTCTTAACATCTAAAGCAGAATACGAAAAAAATAAACATTTATAATTCTGTTGGTTTCTTTAGTAAGGGGTTCACTTTGACTTGTGTTTTTGCCCCACTGATTGGCAAAGGAGGACATTCCTTGGTTTTTAATGTCATAAATCACATAAGCCTGTTTTATCCACTTTCCAGTGTCCTGTGGCTTTTTTTGGTGATACACCCAAACCAAGAAACCATTTTCCCATGCATAATTTTTGTCCTGTTAAGAATTACTGGGTAGATTAAATACATTAAGCAAACCCAAGAAAAATTCTCAAGAACATTTCTAGAATTGCGAAGAGTGCATCAAGGAGATGAAATAGATTTGTGAGGAGCAGGAAGAGGAGAAGGAGGTGTAATGCCTGTGTAGAGGCTCTGTGATATGTTAGCACAGTTAAAACACTCAAGGGCATGTCCCCAGTTGAAGTTAATGATGCAAAGACACTTTGTATGGTATGGTAGTCAGGTTCAGTGATGTTGGGCTAGAGAAGAGATTATGTAGATTTTAGTAGAGCTGGAGCAGAGTATGTGGTGCAGCAAAGCCAGGAACCTGAATTTGAGTTGAGTTGTATTCTGTGCTGACCTTTTACTATGCTTTGGATCCAAACCAAAGAGGGATTACCACAGTGCCCATCCCACCAAGCTCAATTCAGGTGGGAAATTCCAGCTGGAATTCTTGAATTTTTATTTTGTTTCAGAAAGCCTCCTTTCTTCATAAATATTTATGGCTGTAAACAGAAATAAATTACAATCTGAACAACTGTGATAATTTCAGTCACCCATACTCAGAAAGAAATGCTTTCTTTCTGAATAAAATAATTCTGTTTTAAAAACAGTCTTTTGGACTTTCATATCTTTATGTGTAGCAGCTTTCTGAAGCTATTTCCGATTGATTTAAATATTTAACACCACAGCCTCTATTCTTACCTGTGTTTTTAAGGAGTATGGTTACTACAACTTTCAGACACCTTTCAGCAGTTAATAGTTAATAGCAACAATAAACAAAGTACCCTCTTAATAACAAACTGCAGGCACTTTCTCAATAAAGTTACAATTTCAGCAGAAAAAAAAATGTAGATTAAAAGGAAACACCTGCTCCTGTAAATTACTATGCTGCAGGTACCAACCCAGGAGACTCTGCAGATGGTTCTGTATTTGCAAACCTGACCTCAGCACCCCTTCATCAATCTCTGACTGATTGATTCTCTCCGAAGTAGAACACGCCATATCCCAAGGTACTAGAAGACACCTTTGAATTAGTCCCAGTCAGAATACCAATTAATTGGTACTTCTGTTTAATTTTGGAAGTTCTTAACAAAGGACTCAGTTGTCTCATCAAGCACTAGCACTGACTAAAAGGTGCTACAGTAAGAGTTCCAGGAAGAGCTCCAAAGGGAATTGTATTTCAGGAGGTGTAGCCTTTGCTAGACTTCCCTGATGACTGGGAGTGTGGATTAAGTTGTGCTATGCCCTGAGATTTTGAGATGGATAAAAAGAAGCTGGCATCTTGATCCTTAAAATGGTGCAGTATGAATTCATCACTTCAGTTAGCCTTCCTTGCCAGCCAAGAAGAAGTAGAAGAGAGATTATAAATTCTGTATGTTCATTTTCTCTCCTCGACTGTTTTCAGGAATCTTACTTCTCTTATTGAGACCTGAAAGTGATTATGCTGGTCTTTTCTGAACTAGGACAATTTTTCTCACGTTTCTTCCAATACGTACCTATGCAATAGGTACAATATACTGAGAGCAATCTACTCAATAGATCGTTTTTCTTTGTGGAAGGATACATTAACACCCTTTCTAGAAAACAACCCTTCTGGAAAAATAGATACGAGCTTGTGTTCCCTGTTGAGTCATACATTTTCCTATTTTGTCATGCATGCTCCTCAAAATTCAGTGGAAGACAGAGTGATACATTTTGAGCTTCAGTGATATGAGTGAAGTATTTGGGTTTATTTCCTCTTCACTGAGCACTTAGAATTTTACAGCTTCTTTATTCTCTGAATGCCTGAGATGCATGAATGGCTTCCACTTACCTTAAAGAAGATACTTCCCCTAAAGAAAAAGATTTAGAGAATAAGGTAAATTTATCTGCATGCAGTTTGTCAGAATTCTTTGTAATTTCAGACTCTTACTGGATGGCTGTCTTGGATTGTTAGGTAACTTTGGTAGTCTTTTCTGCATTTCATAGATGCATATCTATAATGTCATCATCTAGTCTGATGACCTGAATGCGTCGCAGACAGTAATATTGCACAAAGCAATCTGTGCACTGAAGCCCATACTTTGTTATTTAGGTATAGTAGGAAGACAGCCAAATTTAATATAAAAAAGTAAGTTTATGAAGAATCTATAATATTCCTTGGTAAAATATTCTGTGTTTCCAGTTCATGGTTTTCAAACTTTGTTCTCCAGATACTGGATCTTTTTTATGGGTTGGTCTGTTAGATTAAATAGTCTTTGCTGTAGAACTTGTGTTCTTGACTTTTTGATGCTGTAGAACTCAGGTAGGAAGTTTTCCTGGTCTTTGACTCTAAAAGGATCCCTAATTCTTTAAACTGGTAGCGCATTTATTCAATGCACATTTTTCAGTGAGACTGAATTACAAAAATATTACTATGCTCAGACACTTTTTTTTTAGGCTGTAAGGAAAACCAGAGTAATACATACCTTTTTGCTTCTCAATAGTATATGAACCAGCTGTCATAGAAATATAGTTGCCTTACTACATTTTTTGCATTAGGAATTAAGGTCTGTGAGTAATTGTTGACATAAACCACAATGTATGCAATTAAATAAGCAAGATTGTGACATTTATTGTGTATATCTAAAAGGAAACCCATTTAGCAGAAGAGGCTGAATATATTGCTGTAAAAAGCTTTTAATTTGAAATTTCCACTGTGATATTAAGTCTGAGAGAACTTCCCCATTCTCAAGTTTGGGTAATTCAAGAGAAGATTCCAGTAAAATCAGATAGAATGCTGTCATTTGAGATTCTAAATCTCTGAAATAATAAGGAATGAAATG